CCACACACTGTCAACACACCCAAACAAACATTCCTTTTCTATGCAGAGACTATAGACTATAAAAACTACCAATCGCACCAACATCACCGCTTTTAATAAATACTCGTTTACCCAAACTCTGTTCACAAACTAGTATCAAAGTTTCAGTAACAACAATCATCCGTCAATCTTCTATCCAGTACTCAGCAAACTTATAGCTCCTGCCTGCCTACTCCACACCCTGGCTGGAGGAATCGTGGTGAAACCAGGCGCTCGTCAAAACAATGAAATTGATGAAATCGACATGTTTCTTCCGTTTTTGCAATTTTCATCAAATTGTTGTTTTTTGGGTCTAACACATTTCAGTGTGTTCTTTTATTATCAAATATAACTTTCTCGTCTCCAAAGGACTCTCAAGCTAAGGAAGTCGCAAAACTTTGGCGGCCATTTTCTCGCTAATTTTACATCAGAATCCAGGCGACCCCAACCTCCTTCAATCGCAAATACCTCGATTTCTATTCAAGACAGCTGGGTATTTCTTTAATCAAAAGCAAGACAATTTAACAAGTTTAAAGATGATGTCAATAACTCCATGTACCCCAAAAACTGACAAGCGTCTAACTTCACCGCGTTGTGACACCAATATTTCCCGGTCCAAGGTCAGTGTCTGCCAAATGAGTCTCAACATACCAGCCAAGCACAAGAGTGATTAATTGACCTTGACCTCTCAATACATTATCAGAATATAACAAAATCCCCACTCTTCCCCTTCAGACTCATGCCTGCTTCCTGCACGCGCCAACCGTTGAGTGAACGTCCTCGGTTCCTCACTCCTTAGGACACAGGCAGATGTAGTGTCATTTATGGTTATAGGCGGTGCCTATTGGGGGATAGGTTCGATTCGGTTCGATAGGTAGACAGGGCTAGCCAGATTGAGGGCTAAAAGCAACCACCGTGGCACAAACTCTACGAAGACTACGGTGACGTTCAAGAGCAAACGCGTTTGTTTTTAAGGCTCCGAGTCGGGTTATCGGTTTGAGTTATACAGGGTGCCCACTTGGTGATCTGGTCGGGTCGGGGCGTGTTGATATCCAGATTCAGGTCACAAAGTGGCTATCGTGGAACAAGCCGATCCCCTCGACTTATCGCTTAAGAAACAAACGTTTTTGTTTTCAGGCGACGAGTCGGGCGATCGACCCGACCCGATCCGATCCTACCCGACCCGATCCCATCCGCAATGAGCACCCGATATCAGAGAACCGATCCCCCAGTTGGCACTGGGTATTACGTTTCTGGCGGCTTTAGCAACGATTGTCTAGTTTTTGGCTTTAGAGCACACTATAAATAGACCCCTTCCTCAAACCGATTACCTGACTCGAGGCCTTAAAAAAATGCATTTGCTCTTGAAATTCACCGTCGGCTTCGTTCAGTTTTTGCCACAATGGTCGCTTTTCGCCCTCAATCTGGCTAGCCCGTCTACCAAGCAGAGCCGAACTTAAAGGTCTTCGTCGGCGCCCCAACGACCAAACGGAACCGAGCCGAACCGATCTTGTCTATGCGAACCGAGTATAATAGGTTCTTTTATATTGCACTCAGAAGATGTTGGATTTACATGGATTTACTTGGATCCAGAGCTAGAATCATAGCAGGCGGCACATGTCCAAAGCTGCTCATCTTTCCAGCGTCCACCTCAGGGTCTTCCTGCTAATTGTCTCCATGAGGAGCTGGTTTGAGACACGCCTGACCACTCCTCGGAGCAAACTTTTTTTTTCGCTGTGCCGCGCACACACTTTTCTTTTATTGTGCTGAGTGTGTGGGAGTCTGTCTCCTCTTGGTTGTGAAGGCTCCCCTTGCATCAGAAGATGTTGGTTCGATAAAAAAAAATCTCGGTTTTTTTCAAAGCTGTACATACTTAGCAATGGTTGGACCTGACAGGCAAGAATGAAATAGACTGCCTCCTAAATGATTTAAATGTGCCTTTGGGGGTCGCGCAATTTTAACATTTTACTATAAAATCTCCTCGGCACATTTTACGTGAGGACAGGACCAACGACCCCAAACTCAAAGTTTAAAAACAAGCTATAACTACTCACCATAACAATGAGAAAACAAACGCCTCTCTTTCCGTCTAACATACCTAAAACACACACACACACACACACACACACACACACACACACACACACACACACACATACACACACACATACACACACACACATACCCACATGCGCGCACACATAGAAACGCACAAGTAGGTTATATTATGTTTATGTATTCAGCGGTACATACATATTAAAATTACTGTCTTGTGTAACAATAATAATAATAATAATAATATGTGTCTTTTGTCTACAACGTTCCATATGACCCGGACTCGTAATCGTGCGATTGCAGGTTCGAGGGTTCGGGTCTCATTTCGGTGCGACATTGTGGAACTTGACAGGAATTTCCCACTTGGACGTTTAAACTCGGAGGTTCCGACTCTTAGATAAACTAACAATGTTGATAGAGGCGTTAAACCTATACCACCTCACTTCTTAAAATCAACCATATTGTGCACTTCTGCGTTAAAGAATAGATTTAATAAATTTGACATTGCCAAACAAACCTAAGGAAGATAGTGAATAATTGAATTGTGTGCTCCAGGTGTTGACCATTACTCTCTAGACAAGCTTCAACACACCACTAGAAATTTCGAATAACCTCATGGCATGTTTCTGGTTCGATTATTGGGATATTCTGTTCAACATTGAGTTTTAATTGTTCGATTGTTTGGTGGTTGTTTTCGTAAACTGCCCCAAAAAAGAAATCCCTATGGAAATAATTTAGTACGTTTTCGGCTTCAAACTGTTCCTGAAGCCTTTCTTGGAACAATTCAATTACTTCTTTTTGATGCATGTCGTGTGACCCTATCAACTGGGTACAGGCCCCTTCAAAAGCATAGTACTTTCTCCTCCCCAAACTTCTCTTAAACTAATTTCTCAGCAGGCTGAGAAATCCGGTTGTTGTTTTGTAATTCCAGCCTTGAAACATGAGCGAACAAATCACACCCCTTTAGCTGAATGCAATTAAAACGTACAATTTTGAGTTTTACCCAATTTTGGATGCCTTTTTCAAAACTTAATATTTCAGGAACTTGTCAGTTGATATTTTTTATATTGAAATGTTTGACGTCCCCTGAGCGGAATGTTATTTTTTCGAAGTTATATCGAAAGTTATGCTAAAATGACCGAGTTATTGCCCTTAAGTTGGTTCTCTCTCTCTCTCTCTCTCTCTCTCTCTCTCTCTCTCTCTCTCTCTCTCTCTCTCTCTCTCTCTCTTTCTCTCTCTTCTCTCTCTCTCTTCGCTCTCTTTCTTTCTGTAATCCCGCAGGTCACATTTCCTCTTTTTCTTGGGATCGTTTTCCTGTTACTCCCACCTTACGTCCCAGCCATTGTCTGCCTGTCTGTCTATCTGTCTGTCTGTCTTTCAGTCTGTTTAAATTTCCCTATATCGAAACCCCATTTCCCCTATTATGTTTGGTCTCACTTCACCTCTGAACAATTGTCTGTTTGTCTGTCTGCCTGTCTGACCTTCTCTTATACCGAAACCTCATTTCTTCCATTCTCCAAAGGTCTCATTCAATCCCGGGAAAAAACGCACATCTCCTGCCCAGCACCGCTCAGAGTTCCATTGTTCAGGGCCTTCTCTGGCTTCGCCTCTTCCGTGCCATTTCACTCTTCCCGGAGATCTGTGATGTGCTCAATGCCACATAATGAAATCTGCTTATAAGACATCTCCCCGACCCTAATTCCTCACGGAACACTGAGCCCATTTCCCGACCCCTCTCCTTTCCTCTCGCACCCCCTCACTTTTTATTTAAATGTCCACCTACTTAAACTTAAACATCATGGGCGATTTGAGAAACGTGTGTTTCAGGTCCTCTACC